CAGACAGGTAATCTTTGCAGTTTAGGACTAATTCTGCATAGAATATGCATTTCTTTGCACATAAAATACCGCTTTATATATATTTCTCTACAGGAAACTTATACAGCAACTTATTTTTGTGCAAAAACCCCATGGGTTTTGTTAAATAAAACAGCAAATTGTTTTCAATAAACATTCTCACAGCAGAGAGAAAAAAAATTGTAAAGTAATCATTCTTGTCCGAACTAATGACATATATGAAGAATTACATCCTTGTTCTTTCCTTTGCATTACAGTCTACTCAGGAGTAAGTCCCATTCAGTTCAATAGCAATTACTTTCAATAGGAATACTTTGAATTTTGCCCTTAAAACCTTCTACTTTTCCCCATTTCAAAGGGATATTTCTTATAGAAATGTACCTATTAGGCCTGTTTGATCAAGAAAAGATTTGTTTCTAAAATCGTTTTGTAATTGGGGTGTTTTTTGTTTCGATATTTAAAATAATTACAAAACTTTCCCAAAAAAAGTTTTGGTATTTACAAAATTTTGTAAATATTAACGAATTTTTAGAATATTTTTTGTATTTCTTAAGAATAATATTAAAATAATATTAAAAAATATTTTAAAATGGAAAAATAACCAAAAAATGGCCCAAATGTGGACCAAACACAGGCAGGAGACAGCAAATGAGAGCACACACCAACAGAAGAGTCTTTTCTTTTTTAGAATATTTTTTAAGAATAATATTAAAATAATATTAAAAATAATATTAAAATAAAATTAAACAAAAAATGGCCCAAATGTGGACCAAACACAGGCAGGATACAGCAAATGAGAGCACACACCAACAGAAGAGTCTTTTCTTTTTTAGAATATTTTTTAAAATAATATTAAAATAATATTAAAAATAATATTAAAAAAATTTTAAAATGGAAAATTAACCAAAAAATGGCCCAAATGTGGACCAAACACAGCCACGAGACAGCAAATGAGAGCACACACCAACAGAAGAGTCTTTTCTTTTTTAGAATATTTTTTAAGAATAATATTAAAATAATATTAAAAAAATAATATTAAAAATAATATTAAAAAATATTTTAAAATGGAAAATTAACCAAAAAATGGCCCAAATGTGGACCAAACACAGGAGACAGCAAATGAGAGCACACACCAACAGAAGAGTCTTTTCTTTTTTAGAATATTTTTTAAGAATAATATTAAAATAATATTAAAAAATAATATTAAAAATAATATTAAAATTTTTTAAAATGGAAATATTTTAAAATTAAGAAACAAATTCACAAAAACCGAAGGAACTAGGAAGTAATGAATCCAAGCAAGGAATAAAGCAGCACTCACAGCAGCAAGGAAGATCCAATCCAGTTGCTAGCCAAGCCAAGCCAAGCCAAGCCAATGCAAACCCTCCCGCCGGACCTCTTCTCTCTCCCTCGCCCTCTGCAGCAATGGCCGCGCGGAGCCGCTTTGAAAGGGCTCGCCGGCCAATCAAAAACAAACAGCAGCCACGGTGCACTGCTTGGGAGCGCCGGATTGGCTCCCAGCCTCCCACCAGCAGCCTCCATCCCATAAACGAAACGAGCGGAAGCTCGTTAAATCTATGGGGGCTGCAGGTTCGATATTTATAAACCCTTCCGGGTTTGGAAATGTGTTTTGATATCGCTTCGGAAATGCTAAAAATAACGAATTATTTACGAATTAACGAATTAACGAACGAAACCGCACAGGCCTAATAAATATTAAAATATAAGTCCCTTCATATTTATTGGGTTTTTCATAATTTTTTTTTGTTTTTTTGTGGGGTTTTTTTGTGGGTTTTTTTAAGAGGTAGCAGGTAGGTAGTTTGTTTATGGGTAAGGGAGTTCTGGGAGGGGGGAAGGGTATAATAAATAAATAAATAAATAAATATTTACGAACGAACACAGCCACAGGACAGGGAGAAACGCACACACAGGCACACAAGATTCTTTTCTTTTTTTAGATTATTTTTTAAATATTTTGAAGAATAAAACAAAGATATTTTTCAGAAATATTTAAAAATGGAAAATTAACACAAAGCAAGGAGCAGGCAGTGGAAATGTAAGGCAACACAAAGCACAAAACAAAGTAGTACGCATCAGGGCAATGTTCCCGCGTTCAGCAGGCAGTGGAAAAGTAAGGCAACACAAAGCACAAAGCAAAGTAGTACGCATCAGGACAATGTTCCCGCGTTCAGCAGGCAGTGGAAATGTAAGGCAACACAAAGCACAAAGTAGTACGCATCAAGGCGCACACCAACAGGAGACTCTTTTCTTTTTTTGGAATATTTTTTGTGTTTTTTCAAGAATAAAACACAGGTATTTTTAGAAAATATTCAAAAATGGGAAATGAACCAAAAACTGGCCCTGATGTAGAGCTAACACAGGCAGGAGACAAGGCAATTGAGAGCACAAACCAACAGGAGGCTCTTTTTTTTTGGAATATTTTTTGTATTTTTTTTATGAATAAAACACAGGTATTTTCAGATAATGTTCAGAAATGGAAAATTGACCAAAAACTGGCCCTGATGTAGAGCTAACACAGGCAGGAGACAAGGCAATGAGAGCACACACCAACAGAAGAGTCTTTTCTTTTTTTGGAATATTTTTTGTATTTTTTTTATGAATAAAACACAGGTATTTTCAGATAATGTTCAGAAATGGAAAATTGACCAAAAACTGGCCCTGATGTAGAGCTAACACAGGCAGGAGACAAGGCAATGGAGAGCACAAACCAACAGGAGGCTTTTTTTTTGGAATATTTTTTGTATTTTTTTATGAATAAAACACAGGTATTTTCAGATAATGTTCAGAAATGGAAAATTGACCAAAAACTGGCCCTGATGTAGAGCTAACACAGGCAGGAGACAAGGCAATTGAGAGCACAAACCAACAGGAGGCTCTTTTTTTTTGGAATATTTTTTGTATTTTTTTAACAATAAAAGACAGGTATTTTTAGAAAATATTCAGAAATGGAAAATTGACCAAAAACTGGCCCTGATGTAGAGCTAACACAGGCAGGAGACGAGGCAATCGAGAGCACAAACCAACAGAAGGCTCTCTTTTTTTTTAGAATATTTTTTGTATTTTTTTTATGAATAAAACACAGGTATTTTAAAAAAATATCCAAAAATGGAAAATTAGCCAAAAACTGGCCCTGCTGTAGAGCTAACACAGGCAGGAGACAAGGCAAACGAGAGCACACACCAACAGAAGAGGCTTTTCTTTTTTTAAGAATATTTTTTTTAAGAATAAAAGACAGGTATTTTTAGAAAATAATCAGAAATGGAAACTTAACCAAAAACTGGCCCTGATGTAGACGTAACACAGGCAGGACACAGGGCAAACGAGAGCACACACCAACAGGAGAGTCTTTTCTTTTTTTGGAATATTTTTTGGGTTTTTTTTAAAGAATAAAAGACAGGTATTTTTAAAAAATATTTAAAAATGGAAAATTAACAAATTAATAAAAACCGAAGGAAGGAATGAATCCAAGCAAGGAATGAATAATAAGCAAGGAATGAATCCAAGCAAGGAATGAATAATAAGCAAGGAATAAATCCAATCCAAGCTTGAAGCTTAGCCAGCAACCAACCAAGCCAACCCAATGCAAGCCGCCCTCCCGGACCTCTTCTCTTCTCCCTCGCCTCCGCAACAAATGAGCTGTGCGGCCACGCGGAGCCGCTTTTAAAGGGCTTGCCAGCCAATCAGAAACAGCCACGGTGCACTTGGGTGCTTGGGAGCGCCAGATTGGCTCCCAGGGCACCAGCATCCTCCATCCCATTTACGAAACGGGCAGAAGCTCGTTAAAAGTATGGGAAATGCCGTTTCGTTATTTTAAAACCCTTCCGGGTTTGAAAATGTGTTTTGTATTCATTTTGTAATTGTTAAATATAACGAATATTTAACGAATTACAAAATTAACGAACGAAACCGCCCAGGCCTAATATATATATATATATATTGCTTAAGACTCATGAAGTAGAATCAATGGGAAACATTTTGAATTTTTAAAATAACATTTGAAACACAGAATGGAATATGCAAAAGCCGCTAGGTTCAAATTTCATGATTGGAATACAAAACTTCCAATAGAAAATAAGGTTTAGTGAGCACAAAGCAGTAGAAATTAAAGAATAGAGAACAGATCTATCACAGATTAAATGTGACATCTTATCTCCGTTGTAATAGGTAAAAGTTCTTTAATTGTATAATTTGGGGGAAAAGAAGCACAAACCTTAAGGAGATAGGAAGATCCATCTACTTTTGCTTTTCCTACCACTTGGCAAGTGAGCTGAAAGAACATTGGTGGCTGGATGTCAAATAATTTTGCAGCAGGGGCAGAGTTGGAAAGATTGCTTTCCACCCAAACACGCAAGTCTTCTACTGTTTTCTTGTCTTCATCTGTAAACGTGAACACTTTGCTAGATGTACGGGGAATTACAGGTGCCCCTATGGTGCCATCAAATGTAAGTGCTGCAAACCCAGCACTGGTAATCCCTTGCATCTGGCCACCAAACTCTCTGACCTGGGTGAGAAAGAACAGAAATCACACACAGTATAGAAAATAAGTGCACCATTTTTCCCAATTATCTAAAAAGCCAAAATATAATTGGATTATTAATCAAATTTAAAGAGAATTACAAAATTAAATACAATAGTTGGAAAAATAACAAAATACCATACATTATTACACATTGAACTGAACATTTTATAACAGTATTGAATTTGAAAAGCTGAGTCTTGATTTTCAGCACATGAGACTGACAACAATCCTCCACTGGACAATGTCTTTGGGGCACATCAGGTGGAATCCAATCCATTCATTCCAGAAGTCAGACCCCCTTCTAAAGTGAACATAAAATGTCATAACCCGTTAACCACATATATACCAATGTATAATTTGACATAAATAAGAAAGATATGACCCCAACAAACTTGAATTGATGTATCTATGGGTTAATGCTGGAAACAAATGATGATGACAGCTCAATGTGTTCTGTTCCCCTCCATTTTGGGCAGTTGAGCATAGGAGTGGTGGCCATAGGGGCTTACTGTATGTCTCATGAGGCTCGTAGTCATTTTCTATAGGGAATTGTTGTGCAAGTCTGTATAGGTTTCCACACATTGTTGCTGAGCAGGCTGACAAAGCGAGGAAGGGGGGAAAGCTGTTCTTTCTCATGGGTGCCCCAAGCAGCTTCACATGCTTAAGCGACAATGTTGACTGAGGTCACCATAAAGATACCTATCTCCTCACATGCACACTCTTTCTAAGTGTGACCCTAAGTTTTACCCTCTACTCATCTATAAGTCATAGCAAAACCTTTAATTTTATCTCTCAAACTTGCTCTTGACTTATACATGAAGTCAATTTACACAAACGGATATATAGTAAACAAGAAACAGCAAGTCAGCACTACGCTGTGTTCCTATATGTATTTACATGAGATTAAACTACACATTACACAATAGAAATGTGCAGTGTTCTACCTTGCTCATTCAAACAAGAGAGAACAAATAGCTAAAACATTTTCCCCTGCTTCCAGACATTAATAAATATACAGTTTTTGAAGAGGTCTCCCATGGAAAAATTATTGTAGCAGGGGGAAGTTCATCCATAAATGATATCCCAGAGGGGGGAGGGTAGTTGAGAATCTGGAAAGTTACATCTGACTTTCCCCTTTATTTATTCTGTGTGATATTGGAAATATGAGAGAGGAGGGCAGCAAGGAATTTGGAAGGTTACAGCCCTTTTACCCATATAAGATTGGAAAGGCAGCAAAGTACCTGAAGGCTGTAGTCTTTCAAGCTCCTTGATGGTTCCCCCCGCCTTCTCCTTTCACCCAATGCAATAGTTATAGAAAGATAGCTTTTCAAACAAGGGAAATGTCTAGAAAATCAGTTTTTCACCCACTGTCATTCTGAAATGGAACTTCCTTTTCCCAAATTCTCTTAAATCTTTCCTCAGAACTCTTAGTCCACATCCTTATCCTAATGCAGCACCCTCCAGATGTGTCCAATTACAGCTCCCACCATCCCCAGCCACTATGGCAAACTGGAAAGAGCATTGCTGGTAGCAAAGGAAGTAAACATTGTGAACAGCAAAGCCCACTGATGAACTCAAATTTGAAGCATGCAAATCAATCTGATTCCAGTTTGCTTATTTCACTGTAAAAGAAGATATTATTCTACTGAGAATGCCTACATTAACACAGTCATTATTTTTTAATCATACATTTTACCATGTTAAGTTAAATTAATGTGACAAGATTTTATTACAGATAATCTATTTTAGTATGGCGAAATGCAATTAAAGAAACAATATTCAGTTGTAAAAATTCAAGATTTGGGGGAGGGCAGGCATACATGCTGCCTGTTTTTTGATTCTCCAGTAAGTGGGTTAAATTAATCTATCGCCTTCGGTTTTGGTTTGTTCATCATTACTTACGGACTGGAAACTCTAGTCCAGTGGTTGTCAACCTGTGGGTCCTCAGATGTTTTGGCCTTCAACTTCTAGAAATCCTAACAGCTGGTAAACTGGCTGGGATTTTTAGGAGTTGTAGGCCAAAACACCTGGGGACCCACAGGTTGACAACCATTGCTCTAGTTTATCTTTCTCCAGACAAACCAGAGTTACAAACCAAACATTGCTTCTACCATAATAGGCAGCATGCACCCAGCATACTCTCCAACATTTCACAGATGAAATTTTGGACAGATGTAAACATCAGATGGTAGTCAAGCTTGGCAAGCACTATTAAAAAGAACATTTGCCTCCTAGCCCAGCCCTCTGATTGTCGCACTTTCCCTGGCTCTACTTAGGATTTATTGCACTTAGTAACTATGAACCAAACCCAGCATCTTATTTGCTCAGCCATGTTATCGCTTTTAATTGTTTTTATAATGTTGTATGCTTATTTTAACCTGTTTTGTTGGGTATGTCCCTTTGTAAGCTGCCCCGAGTCTCTTCGGGGAGATAGAGGCAGGGTATAAAAATAAAGTTGTTGTTGTTATTATTATTATTATTATTATTAAAGATGAATATATGAGCTAAAAGAGGCTGCAGCCATTTGCTTTTGTCTGAACTACTGGGAAGCGCATGATTCCAGTCCTCCTCTATTCTACTCTCCTCTCTCTCTCCTTTTCTGAAGTAACTTACTGCAAGCTTCTTTTCCATTTGTAGCATCAGAATCTGAGGGACAAGGAGAGAGAAGCTGAGATATTTTTTAAAAGCTGCAAACGTGGAATGAAAAAGTAAAATCAAATCTCAAATTGAAATAGTCTGAGAACATGAACCAGCGTGATGTTTGAGCACAATATAAAAAGATCCGTCATAAAACCTGACTTATCTTTGTCTCCAGATTGGATGATTGCAAACTTATCACATTTCACCCAAATAAAGAATATAAACTTCTAAAACTTCATACTAAACTTCAATCATGATTTATGATCTTTATATAATTCAGATACTGCTGTTAGGATAAAATTGATATCTTAAGACAGAAATGGTTTTGAGTAGAGAGTCCATGAATTAATTGAAACAACGGATGCACATTCCACGTACAACATTTAGGCACCAATAAACACAAAAGATATAATTTACTCCGATAGCTTAAAACTATAATGTTTTAGTAGCTTAATGAAACTTTTACTATGCAAAATATGCCTGCCAGTTGAAGCCTGACCACAGCTAAATTGGATTCCCAGATAAGCAGCTACAACATACTTATACCAATGTAAATGCCTGTTAGTAGACAAACGTAAGCATTTTGAAATATAGTGGAGAGTTGGCATATCCTCCCCCCCCCCCCCCCCCCCCCCCCCCGCACACACACTTTTTTTCAACATGCTCCTAATGGAATAAATAGAGATCTTGAGATAAACTAGGAGGGGCTATTAATTTTGTGGCTATTTTTGCTTCAAGCAGTGTTTGTGCAAAGAAAACTCATATATGAATAGCAGTGAAAGAGAAAAATGAAGCATCTTGCTAAATAGCCTTGCTTAAAGTGGAAATTCAAATGTAACAAACCAAATTGTTGCAGCATCTTCAGAGACCTAGCCATTACACCCTGCCTTAAAGCATATTCATCAGTAACAGAGAGCTATAACAATCCCCAATAGGTTCAGTCTGAGTACAAGTTTCACATACTTACTTCCACTTGATGAACAGTAATAATTTTATAAGGTTTGAGAGTGGGGGTAAAAAAACTCTACCTAAACAGCAGTTCTTACTACAAAACCAAAACATATGGGTTTGGCTCAAATAATAATGAACAAAGTGTGGACCAAATTCCACGTAAACATTTAGGGGCTTATGCTTACAATTCTTCTGTGGGTCTTTTTTGCTTGCACAAACTGTACCTATAAATTGACATATATTAAAAGGGAGAAAAGGAGGCAAAAGAGCTAGATAGTTGAATTTTTATTATGAGGTGGGGCGGGGGGGGGGGGAATAGAGGAAAAGCACAGAGGAAGGGCACATAAGATTCTGTTTTGTTCAATACAGCAAAAGCTTGCTGAGCTCTTGGAATCCAGTGGGTTTTGGTTCTAAGACCCCATGGTCCCAAAATATGTGGATGTTCAAGTCCCATTATTTACAGTAGTTTGGCATAAAATTGTCTCTCTCATATAAAATGGCATAATCAAGGCTTGCTTTATGTCATATTTTTTTTTTGGGGGGGGGGGATATTTTAAAGCTGTATGTGGTGGAATCTGTGGATGAAGAATCCATGTAAAAATTTTGCTGCAAATTCACATCAGTCCCATTCATTAGTCATGGGAGCTGCAGTTGAAAGATTCCCAGCCAGGGCTGAGAAGTAGAGCTTGTTAGAAATGGCAAAGCATTTCTCATCATAATATAAATACTCTTTGATAAACATGTGGTATGTTGATAGCACCTGGGTATGACTGTGAATGTCATGATGCAATAGCTAAGAAGTGTTATAATGGCTGGAGGTTATTGCAAAGGGGCTGCATCAGCCAGTGTCCCTTACTGATGACCTATCAGCAGGTGACTTAATAAAGAGGATGAAAGGATCCATCTTTCTCTCTCATGTGTGACTTGGTTTGAGTATCTGCCTATGTTCTGTATATGACTATTTGATGACTCAGATTATTTGAAAGTACAGGACAGAAAGTGAATCTGTGTATTCTGTTTGTACATTTTTATTTATTTATTTATTTATTTATTATTTACTTTATTTGTATATCGCTGTTCTCAGCCCTTAGGCGACTCACAGCGGTTAACAACAAGAACAGCAAAAATTCAATGTTACCATAACACGGTATATACTGCAACTATGAAGATTAAAGCCTCTGGATATTTTGGATGAAAACCTGAATGAAAACCTGTGAGTTTACTAAACAATGTGTAGATAAGGTCAGATGCTGACAGTTGGGCTTTGCTGATAGACAGGTTGAAGCACATTTTTTACTGTGAAATGGCTCTACTGTATTTTATTTGCTTCTAGGACACTTACTATCCAACTTGCAGTGGCTTGGAGAGGTTGTGATTTGGACAGAGCACTTAAAAGCAACATATGACTAAGCAGGGTCTAGAATACAACAGGGCCTAGAACATAGAAAAGTTGCATTCTAGACTAAGGTCCTAGATCCCAGCTGACATAGCTGTAGGATTTGGCAAGCTGTGGATAGAACCTACCTGATCTATGAGGAAAACAGTCAGTAACTCATCACAAAACTACACACATACAGTAAGAAATACAGACCCAACATGAGTAGATTTTTGTCTGGCTGCTGTACAAAGTGCCTGGAGGAATCTAGAAATGTTGCCATTTGAATGCAGGAGACTAATCAAAGTCCATGTTGGCTAGTGCATTCTGGGGGCCATAGTCCAACAAAGTTACTTTTTCAGAGTTTTGCCTATTTGGAGAGTGACTATGATTATGGCCTGGAATGGGAAAGAGATGTATACCAAGGCATGTTCTGCTCCCATAACCAGCTATGGTAGCCCCATGTAGACAATGAATTTCTTCAAGACTGATGTGGCAAGCACACTAAACAATTTACACTCTGCAATTGCACTCTGCAATTTATTAGGAAATGCCCCAGAATTACCTTTAATCTGTGGAATCGAACAATGTCACCATTTCTGTAGATTTGTGGAAGAGTATCTCTGTCTGCATGAAAAAGTGTGCATGTCAACTTAGTATTGGATTGGTCCACAATGGTTACTACCGAACAATAATCTGTAAATAAAAAAAGCAGGCATGAAAACGAAGGTAACAGGATAAAATTATTATGCAGAAGGATATCTGTGACTTTGCTTTCCCTGAAAGGACATATATTATAGTAAATATATGCACTAGATTATAGGTTTCCAGATACCTTTGGGAAGGCAATATAATTTCCTGAAAAGAGTTACGAGTCAGACATTCTGAGATTTTATACCAACCTCTGTTACAAAATTCATGAGTTTTTGGTTATCTCATCTCTGACTGTGACATGTAGACAGATGTGAACTCAGGTGAAACAGCTATGAAATTACTAACATGAAACTTTGCACCAAAGAACAAGGAGTTTAATACAACATGAACTAAAGACAGACAAGAAAGCAAGTACATGGGTCAGCCAACCCTATTACTAGCCAACCCTGACATTGCCACTCCATTTTCTGTAAAGAGACAGGGAGAATTATAGTATGGCCAGCAAAAATTCAGTGGAATTCTTGCTCAGTATTTTCCTTCTATATCAAGTATTTCAACATCTTTGTTAACTGTTAGTATACTGTAAGGTCTACTTTGGTGGTAGGCTTGAGTTTTTATTTTTTGCTTAATGATGCTCCTGTTTTATGAACACTGGATTCTAAAAAGACTAAAACTATCTTCCAGTGTTGCAAAGAAAGAGGAGCAAGAAGTAAAAGACATTACTCAGAACATGGAAAAAGAAAAGAAAAACCAACAGACTCAAAATGCTGTTGCCTCTGCTTTGATAAGACCACTGACATTTGAAGTAAAGCCTTGTGCATCAACGGAGTCTGTATCCACAATTCAACCAACCATGGCCTGAAAATATATTTTTAATCTGATTTTGTGATGAGCCCTATGCTTCTGGGTAGGCTTAGCCTGTTATAGTTTCTTGCCATTTCACAGATCCTCATGCCATTTTACTGAAGCATTGTCTAAAACAGGGCTTAAGTGTCCACAGATTTTGGTATCTACATTAAATCCTGGAACCACATGCCAGTGGAGTCCACTGTATATGCTCTCAGAATGGGGAGATTCAATTTCCTTCTAGTTTCAAGTTTTCAGGCTAGGGAGAAAGACATTGGTGATCTTTCTGAGCACGGTGCCACTTAGTTACCCTTTGGTACTTTGACTAGTGAGCTATCAGGAAGACCAACATAAATTCAACTGGTTCAAAATGACTGTTTAGAATTCACTACTTGGTTTTGGCTTTGTCACTCCCATCAGTCACCCTTCTGCTTCCACTTTATGTGATATTCTTTCTGTCTTGCAACTTTCAATTTATATCCTGAAAACTAGAAGTACTTTTCGGTTTCATCTATGTCCAGTTTTCATCAAGTAATATAGTGGCTTGCTCTTGGAGAAAATCTTTGTCTAAAAACGCAGGCTAATAGCATAATTATTTCATGTGCATGCTTTGACCTGGGCAGTCTTCTTCCCCAAGTAACACAAGAAAAAATTGATTTCTGCTATATATTTTTCCATGATTTTCAAATGTATGAAAAGAGCCACTTTTAAAAAATAAAGTATTTTTGGATGGAGGAAACAATGAAATGTCAAATGTCAATTTCTGTGATTTGTTTTAATTAAAAAGTCTGTATCAGGCTAGATTTTCTTTTGTAAAACTAAATTACTAATGCAAAGGAAAAGCCTAGTGTAACTATAGGTACTATTTTTTTTAAAAAAAAATTAAGTAGGTAATAATTATGTAAACAGAAGAAATAACTTAATACTTTGCATAAAATGTGACCACGTTTCAATAAGTTTGTTATAATACATAGAGGAAAGCATTTACAACTATAGATTAAGTAGTGTAATCTTTCTGTAGATCTCAAAACATAGCAGATGAAAAATTAAAGTCCCTGTTAGGTATTAAAAACAATCTTGAGCAATTCACCTAATTTCCTTTGTATGATAAAGTGCAAATTGCCTTGGAGCTTTATTGTAAGGCCTGATAGGACTTCCAAGCCAAGTCGTTAATCAAAACCATCACAAATATAATAATCTAAATGATCCATTATGCATACTTATGTAACATTTTCTGCCAGTGTTGCATAATGCACTCTCACAAAAGACTTTATTAGCTAACCTTCAAACCAGTGCTTCTCAGTCTGAGATAGGCTTGCTAAAGCAATCAAGTTACCGTAAACACATTTTAAAATAAATAGATAAATAAATAAATAAATAAATAAATAAGTGGTTAAAGCATTTTACTAGCACCATACAGCACCCCCTCGCTTGGCATACAAAAGTTCTGGCCTGCCACCAGAGGGACAGCAAGAAGGGTCCATTCAGGTCTCCTTGGGAAGGGAGTTCCAGAGTCTTGGGGCAGCAACTGAGAAGTGTTTCTGTTGTGTCCCCACCAATTGCATGTACAATGGTGGTGGAAGCAGAAAAGGGCCTCCCCTGACCTGAACCACATAGGGCTTTATAGGTCATAACCAGCACTTTGAATTGTACCCAAAACAAACTGGTAACCAGTGGAGCTGTTGAAACAGCACGTTTCATTTTCCCTGAAGCCGGTCCCCATTAACAATTTCATTGTGGCTCCTTGGACCAACTGTCAAATATAACACTGGGGCTCCTGAGCATGGGGAAGAACAGTCTTGAAGATTTGGTGTACCTGAGGAAATCTCTCCTACAGTGATCCTGAGGAAGGTCACTGGGAAAAGTACAATGTTAAAGCTTTTTCTCACTCAGTTCCCACTAAATGTGTGATTGCATGGATCTGTATAGATAATACTTTGGAACTGTTTAACTGTAGTTAGTTTAGCTATTAAAATATTACCTTTACTAATTAAATCAATATCAATTCCAAACTGCATAAATACCATAAGAATAAAAATTAAGTACAACCAGACAGGTCTGCAACTACAGTAGAGTCCTGCTTATCCAACTTAAATGGGCCACCAGAACGCTGAATAAGCAAAAATGTTGAATAATAAAGATTAAGGAAAAGCCTATTAAACGTCAAATTACGTTATGATTTTACAAATTAAGCACCAAAACATCAAACAATCAACAGAAAACAAATCTACAGAAAAAGCAATTCAATACACGGAAACATTATGTAGTAATTACTGTATTTACAAATTTAGCACCAAAACATCACAATGTATTGAAACAGCTATGGACCCGGGTGAGAGGCAGACTGCGTTGGATAATGCAAAACGTTGGATGAGTGAAGGTTGGATAAGCAAGACTCTACTGCAGTTACAGAATGAGTAATAATTTAATCTGTAATGGACAGCAGAAAGATCCCATTTTTCAATGACTAAAATTACTTGCTTTCAAAGGAATTAGCCAACAGTTTAGCTATGCAAAATATCTTCAGTAAAGGACTTCTGAGTATAATGGATGCAACATCAAAGAGGAACACAGAGCAAATATGAAAACAAATTATACCAACATTATCAAAATCTGACAACCAGCTTTAAGTCCATATACACCTTACTTTAATGATTAAGGTAAGGAAATTGCATGTTGGTAAGATGTACGTGTTCTAAAGTTCCTTAAATTGAAATCTAATCTCCTTTTCAAACCTAGACAAACATATATTACATTTACAGTTCTGCATCACTGCGTATCACTAAGAGGTTATCTCAGTTCAGACAAGAAATTCAGAACACACAGTGTAAAATACTTCCACTAAAAAGCGATCTCACATCAGTTGAGAGAAATTCTGACAGTTCAACAGTGCAAAGCTAATGCTAAAACATTCTCAAGGATTACTAGAATCTGACAAAAAAAGGTTCAACTAATGCTTAAGGAAAAAAACAGTTAACACATTCTTTTATAATCTGTTGGGTAGCATGAATCTTCAAAGTGACTTTCTATTGCACTTAGATAACCTTTGTTTCAATTTTTGTTTTAGAATATATATCTCATGGAACTGCAAAAACAAATTCTCGAATAAAGCACCTGCAAAGCTCACAAACCCGAAAGCAAATAAAATGCTTTCGGGTTATGATATCCAAATCCAGGATGGGAGGTTGTATTAGCCTGTTCAGATCCTGACATCTTTTATTATTTTCTAGCATATGCTTCAAAATGTTTTAATATTGTTAATTGTTTAATTATATCTCACTGTTGGTTTTTTGTATTCTTTTGACTTTATGATAATCATTTTAATTTATAAATCACACTGAAACTCAATTTTGGGGAAAGATGAGGCAGATCACATTTTTTCAGCCTCAGAAAGAAGGCAAAAGAAAACCTCTTTGAAAAAATCTTGCCAAGAAATCTTGTGATAGGTTTGATTTTTACACATTTTATTATTTGCAGATTAAGTCTTCCAGTGCAACTTTATCGATAACTTCAGCTGGTTTCTCCACTTTTGTGAGGGTCCTGTGCCCAACTCCAGTGAATGTGTGGGGCTGACTATAGTAAGCAGAGCCAATCAAGTTACTTTGATAGGTAAGGGAGAAAATGTTCTGGAAGTCTCTCCTCATTTTTGAAAATATAAATAAAAAAATAAACTAAGTAATCTGCAACCCTTTCAATGATACCCAAAATTAACTGCCTGAGACATGTGTGTTATTATTCCTAATTGAGGAGTTTGCCTTAATTCTCTACTTAAGAATGTATCTCATGATTTTACTGAGAATGACTTGGGAGCCATGTTTTAGGTATCTGATCACACATATTAGATAGAATGGTCAAATGGTGTGGAAGATATTATGGGAATCTATTTCCTATATCTCTGCGAATGAACAATGCAGGTCAACTATTACAACATTCAACTACTAAACAGTAAACATATTCTAATCTTTTAAAAAAGACGAAAAATCAAATGATATGACATTATGGGATAAACACAGACTTATACAGGTAAGTATAATTGGAACAAGTAAACATACATATGAAGACATTGTTTTGATGGATATTTAATTTAAAATGTAGAAAATTTCATTGCTTTGCTTCCTTTGGAGTTATTGATTTCCTCCTTTTGGATATATTCAGTGAATCTTACTTTCAGTTAAGCATGTATGGCAGGCATGGGA